TGTTTTGTAGATTATAAAGGTAAGGAACAGAAATAAGAGAGGAAGAGGGAGGGAAGGAGAGAGATATCTTATACCTTTAAAAATTAATAATATTTTGTGAATTTTGTGGGGTGTATGTCCTAAAGTATAAAAGTATTAACTGTGTTAAATTTTAAAGTGTTGTTAATTCTGTTTTTTTTTCAACAATTTTACAAATAAAATTATGCTCAAAATATAACTAGAAAAATTCAACAAAAATTATCTTGATAATTTTTATCAATAAAAATAATGAGTATATTATTCTCTTTTCTTTTATAACGCTGAACCTGTAATTAACATTTAAACATCAACTTAACATTAATATTAAGCTTCTTAGCTTGCCTATATATTCCAGAAGGATCTCTTTTGCTTTGCCTAGTTCATCAGGATATGTGTCACAAAGATTTTCTAATGCCTCCCAATTGACATTTCTATTGGCATCAAACCACCTCTGGAATACAAGACCAAGATTTTTTTTTGCTGTTCCTGGTATTGCCATCAGATCAGCTACCTTCACATCCAATCCATTCCCTATTGTCATGTAATGGTGATCAGAAGAGCCAAATATCTTCATTACTGCTGCCATATTAAGTTTCTTTTCTACATGTATAGTAATAAGTAAGGTATGTAATTATCAAGTAAACTGTGCAAAATGATGTCCATGATTCATAAACTATTCTAAGTTTCTAACCTTGGTCAGCTGCTGTTCTGATTTGTGGTTTTTTGTAAATGCTTTCTGCTGCTTTACCAGAGGTTAAACCTGTAGTTAATATTAAACATCGACTTAAGATTAATATTAAGCTCTTTACTTGCCTAAATATGCCAGGATTTTATTTTTTGCTTTACCCAGTTCAGGTTTTTTATCACAAAGCTTTATCAATGTATCCCAATTGACATCTTTATCAGCTTCAAACCACCTCTGGAATATTTCTCTAAGTTTGTCTTGTGGTGTCCCTTGCATGCTTATCACATCAGCTATGGGTAATTTCAACCCATCCCCTATTATTTTGTAATGATGAACAGACTCTCTAAAAATATCCGTGAGTGCATCCATATCAAGCTTCTTGCCTATAGTAATACATAGAGGATTAATAGATAATTTTACAAACTATATCGATTCTAGTAATCATCATGTTTAAAATAGCATGTAAAAGTGTCATAATTAATTTTAGCTATCTCCGCTAAGTGTGTACATGTTTACCTGTTATAGGACCAGGATTGAGTTCAACATCTCCTGATAAGAAGAGGAGCATACGTAGACAAGCAAGTGAATAGTACTTTGGGTTAAAACTGCTGCCTCCAGGTGAGGCAGTGGCACCAGTAGTACATTCTACTTGATAGCAGTTACCTAATAATAAAATACCAGTAAATATACAAGTACAAAGTTGCAATTGTTGTTTACCTGTT